ATTATAATTATTATAAATTTTTGAATTTAAATTATTTATTTATTGTAAATAAATTATTTATATCAATTGAAAATATTTCAATAATCTATATGCTAATATTTTCTTCAAATAAAAATAATTTGATTCTTTTAAATACCCATGCTTAAATACAATACAATAATCATTAATCAATAATTAGAATATATATTGCTTTTAGAAATAGTTGTTTTATATTCTGATACAGGTTCATTCTCACCTTCAAGTTAATTTTTTAAATCATTTAAGATCTTTTGTTATGAATCAGATAGAGTTAAGAAGTTGATAAATTGTTTCTAAAATTAAGAATATCTAGTTTCAAAGTTGGAAGATGTTTAAATATTGACAGAATCAAATCTTTTGGCTAATGATTTTCTAGGATTATTAGGATCTTAAAAGATGATTATTCATAAAAATCAGTTATACCATTAAGATTTTGGATTTCACGTTTATGGTTTTGATTATTAATATTAAATTTAAGGTAACTAATATGAAGTAGAGCCCTTAGAAAAAGTCTAGTAAGATAATTGTTGAGTTCCTTAATCTTAAAGAACTGCAATCTGTTGTTTTTGTTAAGAATAGAATTTTGGAAAAGGTAAATTTTAGTTTTTAAATCTTCATTTTCGTTTTCCAAATCTTCAATATGAAGCCGAGGCTTATTTTTTTGCTAAAGAAATATGTCTTAATCGGTTGGCCTATATTTGGAATTTCTAGATCTTTTTATATCTCACCGCTTCTTCCAATTGTCATAGTCTAATTTTATTTCTTTCAGCTTATAGGTCTTTATGTTATCTATTTAGATCATTTTCCATTTCATTTAATTCTTCTAATTTATTCAATTTATATTAATCTAGCTTAAATCCTTCAACTTGGATTTTTTATATTACATCATCATTAGAGGATGCCTATGGTTGGGATTTTAATAATAATTACTTAATTTACTCTAGGTTTTTATATTTCTTGCTTTAAATTTAAGACTTATAGATTTGTTTCTTTTAATGCTTCGGTCATTCTTTTTAACTCTGATGTTAGATTTTGGATTCTATCAATACAACCAGAATGTTTATCATTAATAATTATATTATTCTTTTTATTTTTAATTTTATATGAAAAGTTCTTTTGAGTGTTATAAATTTCTTATCTGATGGCTAAATCTCTATTACCCTGTTAATAATTCATTACAAATCTTATTACAAGAGATTGAATGAATGAATTTAAAATTCAAACTATTAAATTTGTTATCATATATAAGTATGTGTGATTTGAAAATGAAAAATAAATTAAATAATTGGAATGGATGACGAATGCATTTAACTGAAAGATGTCCCAATTTATAGACCTAAAAATTTAGTTAGGTAGGTTACATTAAAAGAAGAGTCTAATTCTCCTCCCATTTAGAATGAGAAATAATAAATAGTTAATACTTAAAATCTATTTGAGCAGTTAATAGATTAGTTCGTCCTATTAATTTAATAGCAAAGCCTATCATCTTACACATTATTAATATATTCTATTAAATTTTACTAAATGTCGGTTGGAGTATATTTAACAGAAGCACTGTGGCAATCTAATTAGATAAAAGTAAAATCATAAAGCATTAATGCATATATTTTTATTAAAGGTTAAGAAAGTATTTTTAGCAAAACCCTATTGAGGCGCTGAATAGTCTATTAATAAAATTACAAAAATTCATAATGCGATTAGGCTATCTGAAGAAGAGGATCATTTATAATAAGAAGTCAGTTTATTACGTTTCAATACCATGAAATCGACTTATCATCCTCATGTTGAAGTGAAAACATAACAGTCGTATGATTAAAATGAAGAATAATAAAAAGAACTTGAATTAAGAAATCAAAAACTAAAAGAACTATAAATTAAATTAGATTGTAAGGATAACATCATAAAAGATATGACACAAGGATATTTAAAGGACGTTTAACATATGAAAGAATTATTATTTAGAAAAAATGATTAATAGTTGAATATATTTGAAGTTTAATATTTTGATTCTAAGGAAGGATTTACTGAAGAATAAACAAACTTATTGAACTAAAAAATTAAAGGTATCTAACAACAATTTGAACATAAGTATCTTGAATTAACATAGACTATCTAGCATATTTCAACTGAAAATAAACAATATCGTTGCCTAAATTGATAAGTTCAAAGATAAACTCAAAATTCACGATACTAGTATTGGTTTATTAGCCAAAGTAATACAAATGGATAATAATGATCCTTACATTACTTGGAAGAATATTTAAGATCTCAAAGGAAATTCATATTTCTTTTAAGTATTTGAAAATTAAAAGCATACATATGGAATTAATTATAGAGAAATAGATAAGTTAATAATTCAATGCAAGTCTTAGCAAAGAGAAGTCTAACATTATAGGTAATAATTAGAGGATTAATTATCCTAATTTGTAGATAGATAAATTAATTATATCAAGGATTTGTAAGGAGAATTAGATGAAAAGAATGAATAAATTGAAAAGCAAAAATACCGTCAAAAGGAAATTGTTTAAGAATGTTTAAAGTAGAGTCGTGAATAGATGGAGATTGCCTTATCACACCGAAAAAATGAAAGTAAATTATTTCTTATAATAGTGTTGTAGCAATTATTTGGGTAATTTAATGAATTAAATGAAATAAAAACTAATTTTGATCAATATAAGGTCAAAGTGATGTTCAATAAATGGATATTAATTAATCGAATGTTGAGATGTGTGAAAACCGTTAGAGATCAATTCTTACTAAGACAAGAAATAAAGGAAATTATTCTCGGAAGAAAAGATTTTGAAGAAAAATTGAAAGAATATAAAATTAAAAAAAAGAAAAAGAGAAATATTCTTAAAAATCAATATGAAGAATTAAAGTAAATATATGAGAATGACAAGTATAATCAAATTTATTGGGAATATAAATATCTGACATAAGAAAAGATGGAATAAATTTTAAATTAAGAAGTATCCTAATTATAGCAGTAATATAATTAATCCAAAGAGAATATTAAAATATTGCAGTTAAAATATTAGGTTGTTTGTTTGCATTATTAATAATTATATCGGCTATTCGACTCGAAATAAATAAATTTTGAGAAATTAGATAAAAGTTCAATAAAGATGGTTGAATATAAGCTAAAGTAATCTGATTAAAATAAAGAACATTTATCATAATAACTTGCTCTTTAGTAATATCAGTAATTAAATAAACAAGAGTTTTTATTTTCAAATATCCAAAATAGGTCAAAATATTGTCAAACTATTGTTTTGAATGTTAACACACCAATTCAAAATAATAGTTTAAATTATGATATTATTGAAAAGATTATGAAGCTAAAATTAAATATTAATGAAATGTCTCATAAATACACAAATACAGATTTTGAATATTAAATTAAACGAGAGATTTTTACAAAAGATGTAGAGGTATAATGTATTTTAGAATCAATTTCTACAATTTAATAATAGCAATCTAATTCTCATTGTAAAAGTAATTTACTTCATTATGAATAATTAAGATCAGTTTAAACACCCTCTTAATTATGTTTATTAGAAGAGATTTCTGAATAGCAGGTAGATACATAATAATTCTAAAATTAGACTGAAATCAAAATTATTGATAATTAGAATATGAATATATTAAACTAAGAAAACACTTATCTCATTTTTTAAAGAAACTCTTTGAAGTTCACAAAGGAAGATTTTACTAAAAAAGATTATGAGTCTCAATTATTATACGATTAAAATAGATTGCAAATTAATACTCCTTAAACCCCACTTCAAGCCTCCTTAAGAGTTAAGGATTAGATAGAGAAAATATCTTATTTATCATCAAACAATAAAGAACATTCTGTCGACCAGCAATAAGATATATTCCAAAGATTATATAAGGATAGTATGAATAGGAAATAAAGGTTATAAATATTAAAGAACAATATTGAAACCTTGGATCAATTTAAGTGGGAATAGATCCTTTAGATAATTTAATCTAGTCCTATAGATTAAGCAAGGGGATATAGTTAAAAATCAACCAAAAGGCCACAAATGTATTTTTCAAAATAAAAAGGACTGAAAGATGTTGAATATCGATTTAGCGATTTAGAAAGAGATAATTAAAGAAGATCTTCCTATAAAAGAACAGGGACATCCAACAATAGGACCTTTTAAATTCATAATACCCACTAAATTCAAAAATAAAATACAACGTTTGATTTTTCTTATAGCAAAGTAAATAAATAGAATTTTTGAATATAATAATAATGATCATAATATAATTTATATGGCTAAATATGTAATGATCAATAAATGTCCGTATGCTTCTGTTGAATTAGTGGAATTTGATGTTCCTGCAGCCAGAGCAAGTTGGGCTATCTTATTATCATTCCATAGGACCTAAACAAAAGTAATTCCAGGTTCGTTGCATTAACAGTATGGTACTGGTCTAGATGAAGTTATTTCTTTGTATTAACAATCTTGATTATTGTATGCCAAACCATAGACTGAATTGGATTGTTTGATCTAGATTAATATTTTGGAGTACTTAAAAGCATCCCAAACCTATCACATCTGATAATTCCAACAATGGCTCATAGTCAAAGTTTGGTACATAATGCCAATAATGAAATTCAGAGGAAGGAGGATAATAAATATCACCATATTTATCCATAAATTAACAATATATAACTGTAGAATTATAAGTAAATGTTGAATTTGTGAATGCATCGATCATATCATTGGATACTGCAAGCACTAATTTATACTATAAATAAATCACAATGTCATACCCTAATCAATACAGATTTATATTTGTACTCACATTGAGCTGATTTAATTGATTTGGAGTTTAATTTCATAGTTGTATAATTTACTATGAGAAATATATTATAACTATTTACTAGTATCTTTCCATTTAGCTACTATAGCACTGAAATAGCCTTATTCAAAGAAGATCGGATTTTTTTTGGAATCTAAATCAATATATTTAAACATTAAAGATCTAATTAAATCCATAATTTGTATTTAAAATGTCTAAAGAGCACTTGCTTCTAATGTTTGAATTGCTTTTAATTTCTTTGTAATGAATTCGATGCTTTTTAAAAACCAATATATTTCGCTTTACTACACACTGCTTTGTGCTGTAGTAATTCCTAATTCATATATAGCAAATAATTGTTTATATGTCAAAGTTGAATTTCTGTTCAATAAATCATAAACTTAGATGACAGAGAAACTAATATATTTCATCATATTAACCTTGCTATCAACGACTCATCTGCTCCACTTTATAACTATTTTTCAACAGCTGCATTTTCTGTTGAGTTCAATAAACAAGTTTAACCTGACATTTGACTACCTGAAGATGCTGTACATGCACATGATTGATTTTAAGAACAATACCCTGTTTTTGAACATGCACAACATTCTCCAGCGCTACTGCAAGATGAATCGAATGACTATAGCTAGATATTGTTTAAATACATTGATGATGGTCACCGGCTTTATTAATGTCGCTGCGTAGGTTAAACTATTATGTTTTAAGCACATTACCTAACAATTATAAAAAGAAATAACATTATTATTATTATTATTATTATTATTATTATTATTATTATTATTATTATTAATAATACATTTAATTAAGTTGATCCCCATCAATACAATTAAGAATATAGTTTTCAAATATTTCAAAATAATTAGATATTGATATCTTTTATATTTTTTAAGTGTTTTATTGTTTTTATTTTTTTTACAGGTAATTTGTTCTGAAAACGTACCCCTTTTTATGCTATTCTGAAAGTAATTGTCAATACAAGTTGACGTGGCCGAGTGGTCTAAGGCGGTGGATTAAGGCTCCATTCCGAAAGGGCGCGAGTTCGAACCTCGCCGTCAACATTTTTTATTATTTAAAAAATTGATATTTTTTATGAATTTTAAGGATGATATCAACTGAAAACTTTTATTCAACAGTAGAAATTATGAAATTTATTCTAGGCTAGCATTTTTTCAGAACTCCATTGATTTAGATGGGATCAAAGTTTGATTTATTTTTGAAAGGTTAATTTATTATTATAATTTCTTTAATGATAATGTAGTTAGTTTATAGATAATTATGGTTAAATAATTCATCAGATATATATTATCTGTTTATGTTACTTACTATAAAAGTATAAATTATTTATGTTCATCAAATATTTTAATATTGATCATGCTTCTTAGTTGATTTATAATCTTTCACACAAATCTTTTAAGTATGTGATATTTTAGTTAATTCTTGAGTTTTTATCTTTAATCACTGAGCATGCAACTACATTTCTGCTTGTACCACACATTCTACCTAAATCAACCTTGCTCTTAACAAATACATATGGAACATTCTAATTGATTTAACTTAAAAAAGCATACCTTATCTTCACAAAGCAAAGGCAAATGAAGTACTATTTCTAATGGTGTTGTATCAGCTGCAATAATGACCAACTCAGCAATACCTCTATTTAAAGTTTTTGTGGTTTCATTCGCTCCTTTTTTTAACTAATGATTTATGCAAAATTATACTTATTTTAGAGCTGCTGCCTACTAGGCAAGTTCTAAAATTTGAGGTTCAACTTCTTCATTAGCTAATGGCTATGCTCTTTCTGGATATTCGTTTTACTAATTATATCGATTCACAATTTACCATTGGTTATTATATTTACAAAATATTTAATGTAAATCAATTTAATTTTTTTTTGATTTCTACTTTTGAATATAATTGATATTCCTTTATATGATATATATTCTTCGTTTATGAATTATAACCTATTTCTAAAGGCAAGGAGAGCATTATATTATAAATAAAACAATTATAATTAATATGCAATTTTAATATTATTAATGGAAAATATACAAAGATTACTTATAGCTCCAAATTCATCAAGGAAGTACCTAATCAAACAAGATGGCAATAATTTACTTTTCAGCATCATCCTCTGTTTATTTTATATTGATAACTTGATGAATGAAAAATTACCATATTCAGCAGCATGGTTTAAATGCTCATATTTATTCCTACTATTTATTAGTAATCTATGTGCTATCTTCCTGTATGTTCTTTTCATACCTCAATTAATAACATTGAAATAGGAACATAATAAAAAGGATTAAATTATTTAACTGAGAACTTTATTGCAGTATAAATTACACCAATATTTAAATATCAATTAATATTTGATAAATGTTTTATATTTTGCAGGTATTTTATTGGTTATTTGTGATTTTTTTGGAGAAGCCTTAGAAGAAACATAAAATATTAAGTAAATATATATAGATAAATAGAAAAATTCTCAGATATTCAGTTTTTGGATATTTATTAAATCGTATATTTATCACAGGACGATTGGAGAATGCCCTAGAAGAACAAACCATTGTTGAATTCAAAGAAAGCTTTATAAAAATCGAGGAGCTTAATGAAATTTCATTGAGTACATTGGAGATTTGTTCTATATGTTATGAAGAATTTAGAGCCAAAGATTTTGTTGCTGAATATCAATGTTAAGGGAAGCATACTTTTCATTAAGATTGTGTTTTAAAATGGCTAAAAATGCCAATGAACAAAACCAAGGTTTGCCCATATTGTAAATAATTACCAGATTCTATAAATAAATATTTCTGATAATCTATTAATTTGACTTGTTTGATTTATAATATAACTTTATTATTTTATAGTATTAAATAAATTCGATACTATTCAAAATTGTTTAGATAAATGGTAAGCGAATAAAAGAATAGTTGCAACTACAACCTAGAATAGTTGAATCTATAATAAATTGATATTCGCAAATAATAGTCCTAATACCAAAAACCCAAAGTTGAGTTTATAATTTGAGAATTATCTAAAGATATTAACATTTTTTACATCAGAAATGCTTTTATCGCTAAAGAAAACAATAGTCGAACAATTAAAATGGAAAAGAACTCTACTTAACTTTAAAACTAGCTATGTATTGATTAAAAACTAGGCAAAGAACTTAAAAAATTGATTAGTCCAAATGTCATCAATAATTTCCTTAACAATTATTCGTTGTACAATTCACTTATACAATAATTTCCAATGAAATATCCTAATAATTCAAATATGGACAATATTAAGGCTAGGGTTTCAATTGTCCATTGGAATTGATTAACAAATGCATTTAGTTTAAATAAATGTCCAAAATATAAAAAACTTAATGCAAACATTATGAAATTAACAATAAGTCGTGGTTCTTATTTATTACTTGGTTTGATTTAGAATTTACTAAGTAGTAATGAAACTTACTCTTCAGAAAAATATACCTTATTTGGAAAATTTACTGAATAGATAGAGTTCATATTTTAGTGAAATTCTGTTAATAAGGTTTCAATCTTATTTAAGGCAACTTATTATTTCTTTAGAATTTATTAATTTTATCTAGATATTTCTTCATAATAAGAAAGGCGAGTTAAAATACATAGAGGCGAATCTTGCAAAGTGAAATAAGCAAATAGGGTAATCAAGGAAAATGGAATCCACATTATGATAAGATTAAAAATATATTGTTCTTTAAAAATCATATGTAAGACTGAAGAGACAACAATAAATTCCACAATTACTAATAGAAAATCATTGTAAAAGATTAATCTTTAATTTTTCTTCAAAATAAACTAAATCTATTCGATTAATAAATAAAAAATGCTTGCAGATGACATCCCCTGTACAAAAAAGCAGCCAAAGAATATCAAATTATCCAAATAGATTTTTGTTTTATTAATTTTTCCGATATCTTCAAAATGTAAAGATCCATAATTTGGATAGAGATTACATTGAGTTCCTTGAATAAAGTAAGTGCCAGACATAAGCAAAAGAGAGAATAGTAATAACTTAAATTAATAAATTATATACATTTTTATTTGAATAATGTAAACATAGAGGTCTGATACTATATACAATTACGTAGGATATCACTATGTAAGCAATCCTAATTGCAATAACAAGTATGAGTTGGTTTATTTATTCTTCCAAATATAAATGACTTCTGGAGGAGTTCTTATTCTTTATATGCTCTTGGGGTCGTAAGCTAAATTTCAAATATCAATACATTAATTTTGAATGATTATCATCATGTCCTTAAGTAATTTAATCTTAAGTGAATAAATATAGAAGTTAATAAAACTGAAGAGTTAAGAATCCAACTATTAATAATATGAGCTTTCTCAAAGTTTAAAAGTACTTCCCTTTTGGGTTTAATGTTAACAACAAAAATTGCTTATCAATTACAATAGAATCAACCATTATTTTGAATTAATCAATTGGAAGGTTTGTTTAGTTATTAAGAACTTAAATAAGTTGGTTCAAAGTATTATTATTATTTTGTGGGTTCTGATTGATTTGAATTTCCTACTAAGAAATATCTTAGGAATTTTGTTATGAATTTGGTCTATTTTCTACACCTCTTTGACTATTGTTCATATTTATTAATAAAATATTTAGTATTAAGTTTAATTAGTTTACATAGAGAATTCAATATTTCTGAGTCTCAGTCCCAGAATTATAATTAAATCTAATTCATTTCATTCTCCAACTAATTTTAACATTATTCTAGAATTCTCCATCATATAGATTAAATTTAGATTAAACAATTTTGACATTTTAATTAAATAAATGATATGCATCTAATCAGGTTGCTTCGTTGACATAGATAAATTACATACCAAAAAATCAATGAATTATGTTATCAAAAAGGAATTTTAATTGCTAGAGATTTGAACAAACATTTAATTAAAATTGGGCAATTGCACTCTATTAGAAAAATTAACCAATTATTTTAGTTTTCAAATTCACTCATCGACACGATTTTCATTATCTTAATATTAATTCAAAAATCAATAAAAGAAATTTTGTATTAAAAGTAATCTAGAACTTCTTTATTTAAAAAATTCTCTCAACTTAAAATAATTTCTCAAAAGAATGATTTTCCAAAAAACAGAGGATAATAAGCTTTTCGAATTAGAATTCCACTTAAAAACATAGAAAATTCTCTTGTTATGTTTAAAAAATGGATATGATTAGATAAGTTAATGTTAATATCTTATTTTAAACAATTTAGAAATGTTGGATTTATTGATTTAAAAATTTCTTGAGATAGAAATCTGGATTAAATGTATATTTGTAGTATTAAATTTATTATTAATCATATATGAGAAATATTGATAGCGTAATTTATAATATATAAAATAAAAAATGCAAAAAGAAAATCAAACATTTAACTTCTAAAATTTAATCTTAGCAATGTATGTTTTGAAAGTTAAATTTGATTTTTAAAAACAATTTAGTGCCCTGTTGATATTTATGTCGAATTTATAGCCATTATTTTTTCTTTTTGAATTGGAAAATACAAATTTAGTTTCAACTCTGACTTTGAGAATGGAAAAATCGTCTGAACTAAGCAATTCATATGTTTATGAATTTCTTTAGATTTTATTTAGACCATCAATAAAATTAATTACCATATTTAGCAATTATGATGAATATGCATTTTTAGTTGTGACATTTGTAATTTTAATTCACAAAATTGGATTAATTATTTTTAGTTAATATTGTTTTATTTAGGAAAAATCATAAAAATTTATCAAACAGGCTGAAAATTCCTTTTTCCTTAAACTTTTTTGCTATTTCCTCAATTTCTATTAATAGTTAGTTGGATCTTATTTATATTTGGAAATGAATTTCATTTGTTTAACATGCTTATCAAAATAATTAGAATAATTAGAAAATGTTGGTTTTTTACTGGTTACATTAAATATTATAACAATAATACTTTTGTTTATAGATTCTATAGGAACAATCATAATAAATGAATGTACAATTACCAACAAAGTATATGGATTGGAAAAGCTAGGGAATACTATCTATAGATATATATAATAAGCATTTATCATCACTTAATCAATTATTGTTATAGAATTTGATTAACTCCATGTTGAATATATTGTCAGCGCTATTTTATTATGTTAACAATTAATTCTGATTTTGGATTTATTGATTCATTTTAGTTATATACTTCAAGACCTTTTTTA